CCGTATCTCAAACTCTTAAACCTAACCCCTCTAACCATATCCCTCACCCCTAACCCTTAATGGAACCCCTAAACCTAACCCCTAACCCCAAACCTAAACTAAACCTAACCCTAACCCGTAACATAAAAACTAACCACAAAACCTAACCCTAACACTAAACATTAACGCTAATCCTAACCCGTAACCCTGACCATAACCACTAATCCTAACCCCTGGCCCCTAACCCTAAACCCCAACCCTAATTTTAACTCCCTAAATCTAACCACCTAACTCTAACACACTTATTCTAACCCCCTAAACCTAATTCCAAAACCTAACCCTAATCCTAAACCTAACCTTAACTCTAACTCCTAATACTAAACCCTAACCATATCCCCAACCCTAACCCTATCACTAACCCCTAACTCTAACCCTTGAACAGTAACCCTAACCTTAACCCTATCCCTAACAATAACCCTAGCCCTAACCCTTAACCCTAACCTTAACCCTAACCCTAAGCCATAACCTCTGACTCTAACCCTAACTCCTAATCCTAACCCCTAGCCCCTAATCTAACCCCTAGAACCTAAACCCTAGCCCTAAACCTAAACTGCTGAATGTAAGCCCCTAACTCTAACACCCTAACCCCAAAACCTAACCCTAATCCTAAAACTAACGCTAACTAATCCCTAACCCCTGATGCTGACCCTATCCCTAACCCCCTAATTCTAACCCTAACCTCTAACCCTATCTCTAACTCCTTACCCTAACGGCCCTAACCCTAACCCTTATCCTATCCCATACCCCTAACCCTATCTCGTACCCTAACACTAACATTCCAGAGATCTGACGGCTTTTGCCGGTGCCCACAAAGGGCCCTGCTTCCCTCCAGAGTGCCCTAGGGCTTTTGCCGGGTTTTGCTTTGGTCTGCAAGGGGCCCTGCTGCCTTCCAGAGTGCCCTCGAGGCTTTTGCAAGGTCCACAAGGGGCCCTGCTTCCCTCCAGAGCACCCCAGGGCTTTTGCCCGGCTTTGCTGACGCCCAGGCAGGTCTCCGCTGCCTTCCAGAGTGTCTGACAGCTTTTGCCAGGCTTTGCTGGTGCCCACAAGTGGCTCCCAAGGGAAGGCGAGGGCCACTAACAGCTTTCAGTCCTGGCCACTTCTGTGTGGTAGCCCTAGGTGGTGGGTGTGCATTTTGGAGCTGGGCTCTGGTAAGGATGAGGGGGTAGGTGAGGGTTACGTGGTAGAGCAAGCTCAGAGCCCCAGTGTTGGTGGGGCTGTGAAGGGGCTGCCAAGGGAAGGGGAGGGCCACCAACAGCTTTCAGTCCTGGCCACTTCTGTGTGAAAGCCATGCCTGGCGGGTGTCCATTTTGGAGTTGGACTCTGCTAGGGTGAGGGTGTAGGTGAGTAGGAGTCTTCCTGAACTCAGACTGGAGCCAACAGGAATCTTTCCAATGATTTAAAGGGTGCTGGATGGGATCCTACAGAAAATTGGCACAACTTTGAATTGACAATTCTATTTTGACTAGTGCCTGTCATTTACAGCCCTGCAGATACTTGCACACTAGCTGCTGTTGGAATCCACTAAGTGCTGTTCTTACATGTCAGTCTTGGGATAACTCTGCTTTTGCTCATCTCCAGAACATCCTCCAGTCCTTCTGAAGCCTTTCTGTGATTCACATGCCTCATTTCTCAAATCACCAATAGTTCAGGTTCCTCTGTGAATTAACATGCTACAGTAGGTGACAATCACAAGCCCTGTCCGTCCCTCTCTGCATAACGAATCCTTCTTTGCATGCTCTTTACCTTCCCCCAAGCAAATAATTCATTCTTCCACACTGGCAGGTGACAAATTTGCTGCTTCCAAAAGGAATTCTTGCCTTCTTAGATAATCCTTTTAATGCTTTCCTGTACCCTGGTTGCTAATACTCTCTCACATTATGCCACCACCTTGCCAGCCTTTCCTCTTTGTTCTTAACAACTGCATGTATAAATGTAGACTGTGCCACTTGTCAGTCACAGAGAGGATGTTTCCAAGCAAGCGCTAAATTAGCATGTGAGAGCTCTTCTCTTCAGCTGTGAAATCAGCGCCAGAGCAGAAGACATGCTTTCCACCTTCCTCCTGGTCCATGTCAGTTGAACGTGCAGGTCCACACAGTAAAGGTCTCTTCCACCCAGACACTGAGGAAGCTGTTGCCAACAGTTATCCTGGAACCTCCCCATCAAGCTTTGTTGCAGGCAGAGCTTACAGAAAAAAACATTTACATGATTAAATGAGTACTGCAGGTCATAACACCATGGCTGACACCTCACCTCAACTCATTCCCTAAATCACAGTCTAATCCTACAGTGTCAGTAGCCGGTTTCCTCATCATCAAACAGAACTCCTGGTGGGTTTCCATCTCCCAAAGTTCGTCGGCATTAAATGACATGTTGTTACTGACCTTAACACATGTATTCTGAATTCTTGCCCAAACTGGTGTTTTCTCCAAAAAACAGCATTTTTGGTGTCATTACATGGGAATCCCAGCTTCCATTGTGAAAGACAGAAATCTTAGCTTTAAAAGATGTGATTATAAAACACGACTTAACATCTCAAAGAAGCAACCTTAACCCCATCTACAAACATAGTAATTTTTAGAAGTCTTCCTATGTTAGGGAGCCCAATAAGTAATTTTTAAGTGGGTTGGCAAGGCTGAAGCCTGGCTCAATTGTAGTTTCTTTTGGAAAAGCCTATTATACAGATACACTTCCCTACCCCCATTTCAGTCATCTCTATTGCTTTTGTGGGACACGGGGAAGGAAGGAGCTATCTAAAGGTCTTTTCCACTGGAGATCAAAGAATGCCGATGCTTTCATATGGAAACTAGACATTTAGTACAAACTGCCACCTCAGAGCAGGGCATAGGCACATCCTGTATGCATCCAACACTGGCTTCCTCATAATGAGGCCCATCCCTTCAATAGAGACAATGGAGTGTTATTATTTTAGGGATAATCTGTCTGAACTGCCTTGGCGGTCAGCTCCTACTAGGGCTACTTTCCAGCAGAGTGGACACAGCAGTTGCAAAACAGTCAGCAGGGAAGTGTCTGTCACAGCAAGTCTTTAGAACAGAGAAGTGTTACACGGCAGGTGTTTGATACGTATGGCTGAACCTGCCCAGGGATGGGGAGATGGACTTCTGAGGCCACTTCCAAGGCCTATGCGCAGGAGGCAGACCTATCCCAGGAACATGCACTCTGCCGAAGCCATAATCAGGACCATTTCCAGGAGCTTGGGAGTCACTTGGTTTTGAACGGAACAGGAGCTCCAGCCATCCATATTCCCAGAGGCCTGCTCCTTCTTTCACTACTAGCGGGCGAGTTATGGAACTGAAGACCACTGAGCCAACTACATATGTTTGCAGTCCTCTTTTCAAGAGACTCCACTGGCAAATGCCAGAATATTCCTGAAGAGTTATAGAGATAACTGCATTCAGCAAAGAGATCATAAAAATGAGAGCAGGGACGACCAGTGGGTTTATTACGTCTCAGGAAAATAAAACAACCCCTTCCCTTTATTTTCTTGCTAGTAAATTGAGTGTCGCAACCAAAGCCATGAATCATTTATCTGTGAATGCCCCCAGTGTCTGAGAATGCTGTTGGACTCCTCGCTTGCTGTGTGCTGGCACTGGGACATACAAACGTGTCTTGCAAATCCTGCCCTGTCAAAAAGCTTCCTGGCACCAGTGGGTATGCCAATCTGCCACAGAGTAGGATGCAGCAAACAACATTTTCTGCTGCGTGAGGAGGAACAACTTCTAATTCCAACTCTGTGGCTTGTGTTGGCTGGCAAGGACAAACAAGCAATGTGTTACAATGAAAGTGTAACATAACTCTATCAGTCCAGAGAAAGAGCCTATGTGGCTTCTTTTCTGAATAGATGTATACTCCACAGAAAATTGTTGCCAGTGGCAGTAGCCTGAAGCATTGACTTCAGGAACTATTGACTGCAGCCAGTCTATTAATTGTCACTTTGGAGTTCAGGGCACGAGAAAAGAAGGAAAGTCATCTTTTGGCCAAGGAACAGTACAGAAGTTCCAATTAATTTTTCTGTAGACAGTTTTCATTCTCCTTTGTGCAGAAGGGGCACAGGAGCAAAATGCGTCTGCAAGTTATTATATGCTCTAAGCAATATAAAACTGTCAGTGGAAACCCTCAAACATTAGTATTTTTCCTCTCAAATGGTTTTAAGAGCTGAAGAGTTTTGGGAAACAGATGATCTGTAGTGTCTGTTTCTTCTCACCTCTGCTTTCCACAATGCAGCATGCCTGGGCTTGCACAGCACACAGCAATGTTATCCTCAGGCCAACAAAAGAGGAGGGCTAGGTTGCACAGATTGCCCTGTCCAACATTTGCATTGTTTTTGCCCCATTTTCTTTTAAAGATGGTTCTTAGGAAAAGAACCCCCATTAACCCTTTCCTGTTTCTTCTCAACAATTAACAATCCAATAGTGGATCAATTTGACCTTCCTTAGAAATCATTTGACCTGTACGGCAAAGTTTGTTTTGCATAAAACAGTTTCAGTCATACAACCATTTGTATCCCCCTTGCGCTTGTGTTGCTAATAAAGGTTTATATTTGGCATGGACAGACAGCATTGAGTTGTTCTCTGTTATGAGTGTAGACAATCCTGGTAGGCCTCAAAAAGGAATTACAATCTAGCAGCACTGCAATAGCCTGTAAGACCCAGCTACCAGATTAGCTCAGCCCGGCCCAACTCTCAGGCAAATAAAATACTCAAGGCAATTGCTGCAGGAACCTCTGGGGTTCTGGCAGTGGATCAAGAGAGAGAGTACTTCTGTGGAGAACACCTGCCCCACAAAAGCCAAACAACATTGAGTGGGGCCATGGCAGGCACAAGTTGTGGTAGGACCCCATCTGTTTTTGTGAAAGCACACACAGAGCAGAAGATCCCATAATCTGTGCGGCAGTACACATCCCCGGGTGTGA